TAAAAATATAAAATTTGTGTTATTACATTACTCCTGAAAAAAATAAGTCCACAGGTGGAAAGTGTTAGGGTTTTATTGAAAATGGTTTAGATAACATATACTTGCATAGCAATTTTTGGAACCTTGCTAAATAGCCACGGGTATGAACTAGGTCTTATCTAGTTACAAAAACATAAACAAGAATCTAGACCTCTGTCTCTTGTGATAATTTGCTGAGAGTATCTGAAACAGTTTATCTGAATACTGTGCAGCTGACTGATTAGCTAACTCAAAACAAACTTCCCATAAAGTTTACAGGTTTGGTGATTAGACTTACATTTTTCAGTAACGTCTACTCAAGATAGATCACAAATATGGAGGTTGAGTATGGGTACCCGCAGGAAGAGGCAAAGGGGGGTCACTTGACCCCCCCTTGGATTTTCAAAAAGAAAAAATTACTAGATATGTAAAATTATTCTTCAGTGTTATTGGAAAATCATAAGACACTTGTATTTTGATTTCGTAATTTTTTTCAAACTTGAGTTACTTGCCCCCCCCCCATTTTTTTTTCTGCAGGCACCCTTGGGGTTGAGTATATGATATTAAAATGAACTTGAATATGCAAGTCACGTGACAAACACAGCTAATATATAATTGAGGTGGAATAGCATGAACCATAATTAGGTACATTTTGACTTAGCTTGGCATCTTGTTGAGTAGTGTGATGTTCCTGAAAAATTATCACTTTTAGGAAATTTATTTAACTGACCTTTCTGAAGTGAGATATTCATACACTTGTACATAAAGATTTGTACTAATCGGGGATTTAGAAATTCCAAGATGGGAATCTCCATTATACTTAACTAGTTGGAGTACCCTTCCACTGGATGGGTGAAATAAAAACTTGTTTGTAACAAAGGATAGGAATTTGTGCTTCTATTTTTTTTTGACATAATAAACATTAAGAATGCAATAAAAATACATGAAGGAACCAATACTGAAAAGAAAGACATAATGTTTTCAAGAGTTCTATTAATTTGAAATTAGATGGGGAAGGGGTCCACCACCACGACCTTCCTCATGTCATCCTGTATCACTGTTTCAAGTTGTGCTGATTTGGTAGTTTTTCCTGAAATTAGATGAGGGGTCAACCCCACCCCACCCCCCTCATGAACTTCCTCATGTCATCCTGTATCACTGTGTCAAGTTTGCCACTGATTGATCAAGAAATGTGGAAACGTATAAGGAACAGATATGAAATGATATATATGCGACTTTTTTTTTTCCCAGACACACACTTTGCTTTATATAGTAGATGGCATTAGAAAGAAAAGGAATATGGATAAACTTGGGGCACCATAACCATCTAGAAAGAGACCTGCAGCAAATGTACCAAAGCCATTATAAACAAAGTGCAGTACCTTGTAATAAGTCAGTGGCAAAAACCATCCACATGCAACAGTAAACAACATATTCAATTAAGATCTTGTCCAGAAAGGAGTCCAACAGGGTAGGGGATTCATCATCATAATGTTTCCTAACATACTTCCCATTCAACAGTCACATACCTTAAGCAACTGTAGAATGAAATGGATGTTCATATTATTCTGAATGAAGACATACCAGTCAAGCTGCTCAACATATAATGCCTGTGGATTTCTGTTTAGTTAAGCTGTTAAAATGGACTGATAAACCATCATCCTTATACAATAGATATATCATGGAAAGCATGCAGGGAGAATGGATATGCTTTGTACTTGACAGCCTTACGACAGAGCCTTTTGCAATGAAAACTGCACTAAAGTGCTATTGTCATGATGCATGGTTATCAGCTTAAGCATTACCAAATGTGTTAACATAAACTGTAACGACATGATGCCCCAAAATTGTTTTAATATAACATACTTAACCCTTTGTTTTCAAGAAGACTGGTCTGTTAACATATTTTTTATAAACATTTCTGTGAATAAGTCTACGATGGCTATCTTTATTTTACAACACCATCTTTCACTTTAGTTTTTACTACTTATGTAAAAATACAATAGAAGTGTGTAATGAGTTTATTTTGTAACTATCAGTTTAGGCATTCATATCATAATAAATTACATGCACATGTTATTTTACACATTCATAAAAACAATTTCATCATTGTATGTTAAAATTCAAAATTACCCATTTTTTGCTTTCTTTAGGTAGGTCAACGTTTTTTATAATTTTTCAATATTTTCATTAGCACTTGTACATGTACTCTTGATTTTAATTTCAGAAATTAAGAAGTGTTTATAAAAACTTTGAAGTATTACTTACATGTGTGTGTGTGTGTGTGTGTGTGTGTGATCTCACACTTTTTGTGATCAATTTTTAAGAATTGTGTGTTTAGAATATATAGTGTGATAATATTGTGATGTCAGAAACACACGTAGGTTCAAGAAGTCTTGATACAAAATGATAAAGATCATATATCTTGTATGCTTTTGAAAGGTCCACCTTTCGAAAGTGCTCTGGTTATAGGGTTTTTATCATTTAGTATGATAATATGTAATATAACCTACAGTTTAAAAACATGTAAAACAAAAGCATGTACATGTAGAGTGAGTTTTTGGGTGACCTAGTGTTTTTATACCTCATATAACTATGTTATTTTTGTGCAATATAATTTTAGGTATTTTGAGGTTGGAATGTTTTGACCAAGGACAAAATAAACCTTCTGGTTAGCTGTTAGTTGCAATAAGCTTATACTGCCTTGGGGTTAAAAGTTATTGTAATTTAAACTTTATTACATTTAACATTTTAGTACATGTAAGAATAAACAGCCACCAATTAGTCTAAGTTTTAAAGAAGTTAATGGTATTTTTTTAGAAGTTTTAATCATTCTACAGTTTAATAACAGATCAATCACCCCTTGAACAATGTGAAAGGTGTGAATAAAATAGCTTGCTTAAGTCATATGCTAAGATTTCAAACTTAAATGTAATTGTTTTTAAGTTATAAAAGATGTTTGAGGTTCATATATAAGGAAGTGAGGATAGGGGAAAACTATTTTTAATAAAAGGCAAAAAAATCATGAATCTTAAACAATGTTGTTGGCATGTTTTATTTAACTGATGTTGGCAGTGTTTAAATATGAAAGTTGTAATGTAATTATTTAACTGAAATGTTGTGGAATTGCTGGTTTAGTTATAATGATGTACAGTATACTTCATTGTTCAGTAATGTGTAATTATTTAACTGTAATGTGTGAAAGTATTGTTCGTCCCTTATGGTTGTAATATTAACATTAGTACTAGCCTATCAAACCAATTGTCTGAACATAACCATTAAAATAGTAGTAAAAACAAAGCAGCTAAAATAAGATGTGTTTTAAAACTTGCACTAACACAAAATTCAGTGCTTCATTGATGCTAATATCGCCATCATCAATAACTGTTTTAACCATATTCTATTGTACATTTTCTGACTGTACTGCTGATTTTATATTGGGATATCTCCACATTTTGAATTATAATTATTACATGTCTACAGTGATAAGTATAAACGAGGAAATTGTAGAAGTTATGAACAGCAATTTTTCTATTTTCAAATATTAGAAGATTGGAAATTAATATACATTATAAATGTTTATTTTACTCTTCAAACTATGTATGAAATAAGTTAGTTTCTTTATTATATGCAACAGACATGATAAACTAAAAGGTAAAATGTAGGTAAAAGTATTAGTTTTGAAATGTATTACATGTACATTGTTATGAAAGTACTTACTTGGTCAGTATTATAAAAAACATGAAAGATTATTTCAAGCTGCTATCATGTCTTACTTACCTGTCTGTGTATGCTATCTTTCTGATAAGCATTTACTGCAGTGAATAAGGATAACTTGTTAAACTTACTGTTGTCTGTTTATCTTTGTTATGCTGTGTATATTTTAAACTAGCAATAACTGTATCAGAATGTCAGAAAAACACGCACACCCGACCTTGCTTCCATCAGTTTTGACCCTGATTGGAACATGACCTGTATTGTGTACATGTAATGTTTACATTAACACTTTTGAAACAGTTATTCAGGTAGATTGATACAATTCATTAATGTTACAATTTTCAAGAAGAAATAGAAATTATTACATATCATTAAATTTTATGATCGTGGAAGTTGTTTAATTTATTATTAAATGAGAAAAGTAGCTATAAATCCCATGCATAACTGCAGAGTGAGTGTGTATGTGTGTACATACAAACAAACAGGTAGACTTCTCAATCAATATTTCAAACCAACATGCCTCATGTGTGCCACATCAACTTTGTCTAATAACATAAAATATATAGGTTATGAAATATTTGTTGGGATATCAATAACAATTAACAACAGGTTAACATACTCTTTATTATTTGTTGTACATTGTAGTGTTGTAAAAGAGGAATAAATATCAACCTCAGGCTGTTAGACAATGTACATTAGCATAGAAAAAATCAGTGAATTTCCTAGAATACATACTTACTTTTCTTAGAAATATGTATTATTAGATGTGTGTATGTGAAAGAGGTCATACATGGTCTAGATATTACAAGTAAGTCTATGACAAACGTACCAAGGTATATGTATGAAATGCTGGTGCCCAGATAGTGCCAGGGATACAGGTATTCTAGTAGAATTTGTTGTTTGATAAGATGATGACCTACATTGGATTCTCTACAGATGATGGCTTTTACGTTCTTATTTTTACACTATCTGTAGTCAGTTTATAAAAAGAATGTTTAATCTTTCTTTCATCATAAGTCCGTTCATGAATATACATATTTGAATGGTATACAGTATTTTTGCTAACAATAATCTGCAGGGTTTATAGTGCGTAGACTTTTTATTTGTATATAATAAACATTTTGATTTTAGCTTCAGTATTGTTCCATAATTATTGATATTGTGCATTTAAGCCTAGGTTATTTCACATGCTTATTAAATTGTAATGCACTATATAATGCATTTATATTTTAGAAAAAAAATATATATTTTTTTCTTGAATGTAGGAAGCTAGTGAAACGATGTCCCACCACAGTGATGATGGTATGTTGATTGTCTCTAGCGATAGTTTTTGGGAACCGGGAAATTATAAAAGAACAACGAAAAGGATAGAGGATGGGTTCAGGCTTAGTAATGAGCTGATTCAGCTTATCCAGGAGAGAAGTGAAATAGAAAAGAGTTATGGAAAGAGTATCAGAGCTTGGGCAAAAAAATGGAATGATATTATAGAAAAAGGTTTGTGACCTTTTAGCTTAAGAAAAGTATACGTGAATACTCGAGTGTGTTAAATTTTTCATTTTAATTTATTTTTTATATGTGAATTTTGTAGTGTTTTTTATGTTTAGCTTCTTTGTCTATACAGCTGGATAACTTGGTGTTTTTTTGTGTTTTCTGAGTGGTGAAATTTATTATGAATACTTTCTGATAAAACATTCTACCTACAAATAGATCGGAACTAAAAAAATAACGTTGTTAGTAACGTAAATGTTTTAATATGTCAGTGTAACTTGGAATATAGTATGTCACAAAACCTTTGATTAGAATACATTGATTATCAGTTGTGTCAGTGAGTGTTATTATGGCCACATAATAAGAGAAATGTATACATATTTCACATCTTGGGGGGGGGGGGGTAATCGGTGTTATTCCTAATTAATGCCAAAAACTGTTACTTCGGGAATTGAATTTGGAACAGAGCCTAACCCAGGAATTTGGCTTTAGCATTTGTAGCTGCTCAAGCTAAATTCCAGCTGAGGAGATGTGGGTATTGGGAGTGGAGAGACATTCTATGACTTAAACCAGTTATCTTAGGCCTGCTGCCACCTATTCTATTATTTTTATGTTCATCCTTATTGTTTGTAAGAGTGAAATTAAATCAAAAAAGTTTGAAGAATTTTAATTTTGAGAATTTCAAGTAATATTTGCTTACAGTTTGAACAAGGAAAAAGTCTTCAAACTGTCCTTACAATTCAAAAATAAGTCCAATAAACTTTTAGTTAAAACAGGGGTTAAAGGAAAGTCATAACAAAGTGCTGTAATCAGCTTATGAAAGTACGTCATAAAGAACATTAAAAAATTAAACTTATTCATTATGAATAATAAAGTAGACACAAAATGGGTAGTAGTAGATTTCAATATGTTAGTGGGTATATTTTAGTAGTGTTTTGGTTGGTCGATTGTTGTTTATTTGTTTTTAATAATTAATATATGTACTTGAGAGATGTGTCTCATTTTTTTTTAATTGAAAAAAAATTTCTGAATTTCTGTTCTTATAACCCATTAACTGTGGATGACGGATACTTCCGTCATTGAAGTTCTATGGCTCAGCTGCGAATGATGGAAATATCCGTCAATTGCACATATATAGGTATAACTCTATGCGAATGATGAAAATTACTGTTTTATTGTGATTGATGGCAACTCAGTTTTATCTGTGAGACAGAAAACGGCAACCGAGCTGCTCCTGTCGCAGTTCAAGGGTTAATGTAGAAACTGCATACTATTTTCGTCCAAGCATAAATTATTGTGTGTAAGTTTTAATTTATATTTTTTAAAATCAGATTTAATTATCTTAGCTATCTACATGTACCTTTTAAATAGACATTTTTCAAACCTTGTATGTCTGTAAGAAGGACCTGTAAGTCATGTGTTTTATAACAGACAGTATATTTTAAGTGTTGGTACATGAAAGCACATAATATTTATTTTTAAAAAATCTGATCAGCTGTGAATCATTTTATACATTTGACAGCAATTCAAAATGCAGTCATATCAAACATATTTTTTTTTTCAAATGGAAGGTAATAACTGTTGAATACCATAAAAAAAGAGAGAGAAGGAGCAGGTTTGCATTATTTTTATTGGTGGATTATAATAGTATTGTTTATATTTGTTCCTGTACATATGGAGCTATATGAAATTATGAAGCTGGAGGTCACTGTTATGTAAATATTTTGATAAACACAAAGTTATATTGTAGAAAGCTATAAATTTCTAATTACATCTGTGTTATGGGTATTATAAAGGTCCAGAATATGGAACTACAGAAGCAGCTTGGAAAGGGGTGCTGGTAGAAGCAGACAGACGTTGTGAAATGCATGTAAGGGTGAAAGATAAACTCCAGAATGAAGTTATTCAGCAGATCAAACAATGGCAAAAGGACAATTTTCACAAGTCAATGATGCAATTGAAGGAGAAGAAAGAAATGGATGATGCATTTAAAAAGGTAAGAAATACAGTGTTGTACACTAAGAGAAAATTCACTTATTTTTATGTCTGTAGCATCTCAGAAATTCAAGCTTGAGTTTTTGATTTGTCCATGTTTTAATGCTGTTCAATAATAAGAGTAAGCTCATTTTTAGCAAGTCTTAAATAGAAAGGTTAAAGAAATAGCAAAGCAATTATCCAGTATGTACCTGATGATGACAAAACCTTGTCAAAACGTTGTACATTTGCTGTTATGTTAAACTTATATTAAAGTTTTTCTTCATTACCCATTCAAGCCATCTCCAACCATTATTAATTATCCAGTATAATTGTGCTATATCAATTTTCATTTCTTTTTTTTGCAATGTTTATCATTAGACAATTTCTCATATTTAACCTTCACTTATGTGTTCATGTTGGATAGAGCTGCAGATAGTTTAGATTGTCCAAACAATTTCTCATACTTAACCTTCTTATGTGTTCACGTTGGATAGAGCTGCAGATAGTTTAGATTATCCAGTATAATTGTGTTATATCAATTTTCATTTCTTTTTTTGCAATGTTTATCATCAGACAATTTCTCATATTTAACCTTCTTATGTGTTCATGTTGGAGAGAGCTGCAGATAGTTTAGATTGTCCAACAACAAGTTCTAAGCTTGTGATGTGTTTAAATTTTGTTCTCCCAGAACCTTTAATGATTAGCAATATATTTGTTTTTCATATACCTGTAATATAAAAATAGTATTAAAAACTGCTAAATAAATATCATACTTGAATAGAGTTGTTTAAACATTTGTTTAACAACAAGTAAAAGCTTGGAATGGTCTATTCTTTCATTGGGGGGTGTGTCTGTGAGCCAGACTAGTTTCGGTCGTAGTGTCCAGGGTCACTGATGAGGAGTGGAATTCTCCGAAAACTAGTTTGGCTCACAGACA